AGAGACAGAAAGCGAGAAATCACCCCCCAGGGGGGATGGCCACACCACAATCCCTTCTCCTCCATTTTCCTCTTGGGATCTTGGGCACACATGCACACATGCTCGGCATGAGTTTAAGCCGCCGGGTCCGGGACTCGAACCACGGTCGACTACATGGGAGTCCAGCGACATAGCCATTATGCTAACTGCTGGTCCCTCTTTCCTGCCTCTTAAATACAACAAAGAGGAGAGGGAGAGGAGGGGAGAGCCTGGAACACAGGCATCTAAAGAAAGAATAGTGCACAACACAATTAATGATAAATGGTAAACATGGCGGGTATGTTTATTGTCCTGATTTGATTGTATTGCATACAACTTTTGAAAAACCACACCACACTCCACAAAAATGTACAACTAGTATATGTAAATTAGAAATGACAAACATTGCTATACAAATTAAAATTAGGGCTGTCTCCAGGACCTGGTGGTTAAGGGAGCTGGATCCCACATGGCTGAAGGAGTGGTTCACCTCCTTCCAGGGGCAACCTGAAAAGCATGCCAGGCAAATGTGTATGTGTGCCCGAAGTCACCACAGGGTGAGAAAATAGAGAAGGGGTTGCCGTGTGACTATACTCCATCAGGGTGTACTTGCTCTCTCTGGTAAGCAAATGTGCCCTCTGGCAAATAAGAAAATAATAACAAAAGTATTCAGATTTGGTTAGGATTTGTGGCCTATTGGTTAAGGCAACCAGATGCCACATAGCCAACCATGTGGTTCGAATCCTGGACCTGGCAGCTTGAGATACATGTTGGGCATGTGTGCATGCTTACTTACCCCAGATCCCCAAATAAGGGAGAGATGGAGGGGAAGAGATTATGGCATGGTCATTCCCCCTTGCAGGGGTGGCATTTCCTCAATAACTATTGAATATGGCTGATGGGTATATGGAAGACCACGGTACTATTTTTCTTGACTATTGTGTATGTTCCAGAATTTTCCAATTAAAAATATAACTTCATAGGACCACCAGATGGCATGATGGGTATGTCACTGGACTCCCATGTGGCTGACCATGGTTCGAGTCCAGGACTCGGTGGCTTAAACGCACACTGGGCACATGTGCGTGCGTGCCCAAGATCCCAAGAGGAGAATGGAGGAGAAGGGATTGCAGCATGGCCATCCCCCTGGGGGGATGATTTCTCGCTTTCTGTCTCTCTGTCTCTGTCTGTCTTTCTGGTGAGCACACACATCCTATAGCAAAAACCTCTCACAAAAAAAAAAAAAAAGAAAGAAAAAGAAAAAAAAGAAATATATATATGACTTTAGAGATGATGTGTGGTAGTCAGGCCCCAGATGGCCTCTAGGGATCCTTTCCTCCTCTCATAGTTTTCTTCCACATTGAATCAGAGCTTGTCTATGTGACCAAACTACAGAGATGACAGATTTGACTTCAAAAAACTGTGAGGGGACCAGCAGTTAGCGTAATGGCTATGTCGCTGGACTCCCATGTAGTCCCCGGACCCAGTGGCTTAAACTCACGGCCGGTCGCATGTGTGTGTGCGCCCAAGATCCCAAGAGGAGAATGGAGGAGAATGGAGGAGAAGGGATTGCAGCGTGGCCATCCCCCCTGGGGGGTGATTTCTTGCTTTCTGTCTCTCTGTCTCTCTCTCTCTCTTTCTGTCTGGCAAGTGCATGCACCCTATAGCAAAAACCTCTCAAAAAAAAAAATTAGTCATTGTGACTTCTTTTTTTTTTTCCTTAAAGAATTATTTTATTTTACTTATTATTATTATTTTAAATTTTCTGTAGGGTACATGCACTCACCAGAGAGAGAGACAGAGAGAGGGAGAGTGAGAAAGTAAGCTGCCAAGTCCAGGACTCAAACCATGGTCAGCTATGTGGGAGTCCAGCACCTTAATCACTGCATTCCCTGCTGGCCTCGGTCATTGTGATTTCTGTCTTGGTCTCTCCGGTCTCTTGCTGTGAGAGAAGTCAGCTAGCATGCTATGAAGACTCTTTAGCAGTCTTATGGAGAGAGAGACCTTCATGGAGAGGAACCGAGGTAACAGCCAACCATATGAGTGATCCAGAGTAAGTGAACATCTGTGGCAGCTAATCCCCTGGCCCCGGTCATCCTCCAATGACTGTAGCTCCATCTGTCAAATAACTACAACTGTATGAGAAGCCTCCAAGCCAGAACTGTCCAGAAAATGTCTCTCAAACCTCTGACCAACAGAATCTGTGAGAGACAATACGAGAAGACTTCAGAAAGTGAGTGAAGAGAGCCAACCATAGGGTGGAGGAAGCTGATCCTGGATGGCTCATCACAGTCCTCAGCTTGGTGGCTTGAGAAGCATAGTGTGTGTATCCACCCAGGACCCTGACAGGAGGAGAAATGGAGGGGGAGTTGCATCACCACTGGGCTGCCTTGGTGAGGGGTGCTATTTCTCTCCTTTTTCTCTTTCTCTGGTATGTACATGCTCTCTAGCATTGAGAAAGAAAAAAAATGGTTAAAATAGTGAATTTTTAAAAATGTTCTCAAAGAAATAGAAGTACAAATCTTTTGGTTGGTCCCAAAAGATTTGAAATCATAGATTTTCCATAATATGAATTTTCATTAATTTTTGGAATATCCTTTATAAGTGTATATTGTAACACCATATGCATATGGGATCACACATATGTAACACACATACCATTTGTTTGCATATGGGATCACACATATGTAACACACATACCATTTGTTGTGTGTATTTCAGGCTTCCTCATTCCCTCCCCTTCAAGAAAATCCTTTCTCAGTACCAGCAGTTAGCGTAATGGCTGTGTCGCTGAACTCCCATGTAGCCAACCACAGTTCGAGTCCTGGACAAGGTGGCTTAAACTCACACCGGGCGCGTGTGCGTGTGTGCCCAAGATCCCAAGAGGAGAATGGAGGAGAAGGGATTGTGGCGTGGCCATCCCCCCTGGGGGTGTGATTTCTTGCTTCCTGTCTCTGTCTCTCTGTCTTTCTGGCGAGTGAACGTGCCCTATAGCAAAAACCTCTCCAAAAAAAATAAAAAAATAAGAATAGCCTTCCTCTACTGCCTTTTCAATAGGAAAAGTGAGACCTTTTCACATTATGCATAAGGTCAACATGCTACTACCCCTGGAAGAGATAATATATTCACTTAAACTCATGGTAAAACATATGTGACAGATGTAAATTCTTTCTTTTTAAAACTCTGAGCAGGTTAATCTAGTAAGACATTAATTTCAGTTTCAGTCTGGCTGTTGTAAAAAACAAGAAAGAATAAAAAGGTCATTTCTCCCTCACAGTCCATTCCAAGAATGGCTAAGATCTTCCATTATGAGGTCTAGGTTCTTCCTACCCCACTTGCGCCCCACCAGCGCCCCTGCCAGAACACATGGGTTAACAGCTTCTTGGGGCGACTCTAAGGAAGACACCTCCCCACCCCCACCACTGGCCTTCATCTTGATTAGGTAATACAGAAACTGCTGGAATTGCTCCATACCGGAGGGGAAAGAGCTGGTACTGGTTCAGGAAGAGGGCCACTGGCCAGATCTCAGAGATGAATGACTTCCCCTGAACTGAGAAGGGTTTTGGAGTTTTCAGGAATAGAAACCTGTCCCCGTGTGTGTGTGTTTGTGTGTGTGTGTTATGTCTGTAAGGAGCAGGGAGAGGAGAGCTACATAGAGTTTCTAGGGAAGGGGGGGATCTCAGAGCCCAGATATACCACAGACTCTCTCCCCTTCCTCACTTCCGCCCACCTGGTTTGCAAGCCTGGAGCTGTGCCCTTCAGTGGTACCCCAGGGATCATGCACTGCTAGCAAGATTGAGAAAAGAAAAAAAAAAAAAAAAAAAAAAGCCTTTCCAAAAATCTTCTCCAATTTTTTGGGATTTCACAGCGCCAGAGAGAAGAGAGGGCGGACTAGGAAACGTGACTAATGGATTTCCCGCCAACATTGACAGGCGGGAGCTGAGCCCGATTTCTTTAATTTGGAAAATTAAAAGACGTGTGTGGCGTCTTGCCCCGCAGTCAGATGCGGCGAATTCACTTCGGGTAGACACACGTCCTGAGCGCGGGTTTGGATAGGGAGAAGGGACTGGGGGCTGGGGCGGATGAGCGGGCGGAGGAAGCAATAGAGGAGCTTAAGGGGCCAGTGTCCGCCTTCCTGACAGTGGTCGGCACCAGCTGAGCAACTCGGACGCGTTCACGGAGAACATGACCCCGCGCGCGTC